CCTTCCCCTCCTTCCCCCCCCCCCCCCCCCCCGTAACAATTATTTATGCTGGACTTGATATAAACAAAAGTGTTTTCATTAAGTATAAAAATAGGATTCAAGTGAAAACAGACAGATCAAAGTAAGTTCTAATCTAAAATAAACAAAACACACCCATCTAAGCCTAATATGTTAAGAAAAATAGTTACAAATCGTATTTTTCACCCTAGTTCTTATTTCGGGTAAAATCCACTAAGTCAGAACTGATCTTCTCTCTGTCTTGGGTCTAACAGCTCTTTGTGTATCCTCGTAGAGTGGTGGGAGGCTGTTTCAAAAGCCAGCTGAAGACCATCATTGATTGCTTCCCATCTCTTGAATAGAACTTCCCCAAACCGGGAAGTCTTTGTTCCATTCTCCTATTCCCAATGGAAAAATACCAAATTCAAGATGGATTCCAGCACCAGGTGGCATGGTCACATGTCTTTGTATGACCAACAGCAGTTTAGGCTTACAGGAAAAACTAAACCATTTAGAGATCATTGTCTTGAGGACTGGGCCACTAAGTTCCTTAAGTACCATTAATGGCTTTCACTAGAAGACTTAGAATTAATAAAACCAGTTTCCACTTAATATTTCTGACTTCATGTACAAGAGTGATACACTCACATAAATAGCATATACACATTAAAGGGATCATAGGTTCTTGAATGATGGGTTATGTGCCCTGTTTTGCATAGTGCATATCTGAGTTATGTATATTAAGAACATAAGAACGGCCATACTGGGTCCATCTAGGCCAGTATCCTGTTTGCCAATAGTGGCTAATACCAGATGCCCCAGAGCGAGAGGAACACCACAAATAATCATCACGTGATCCCTCTCCTGTCATCCATTTCCAGATAAACAGAGGCTAGGTACACAATTCCTGCTCATCCTGGCTAATAGCCATTGATGGACCTATTCTCCATGAATCTATCTAGCTCTTTTGAAGTCCTAGTCTTTACAACATCCTCTGGCAAGGAGTTCCAGATGTTGACTGTGCACTGAGTGAAGAAAAACTTCCTTTTCTCTGTTTTAAACCTGCTGCCTATTAATTTTATTTGGTGACCCCTCATTCTTATATTGTGGGAACAAGTAAATAACTTTTCCTTATTCACTTTTTCCATACCAGTCATAATTTTATAGATCTCTGTCATCTCCCCCTTGGTTTCATCTTTTCTGAGATGAAAAGTCCAAGTCTTTTTAATCTCTCTTCATATGGGACCCGTTCCAAATCATTTTGTCTCCCTTTTCTGAACCTTTTCCAATGCCAATATATCTTTTTTGAGATGAGACAACTACATCTGTACACACTATTCAAGATGTGGATGTACAACAGTTTTATATGGAGGCAATAAAATATTCTCTGTCTTATTCTCTGTCCTTTTTTTAATGATTTTAACATTCTATTTGCTTTTTTGACTGCCACTGCACATTGAGTGGATGTTTTCAGAGAACTATCCACAGTGACTCCAAGATCTGTTTCTTGAGTAGTCGCAGCTAAATTAGTCTCCATCATATTTTATGTATAGTTGGGATTATTTTTGCCAGTGTGCATTACTTTACATTTATCAACGTTAAATTTCATTTGGCATTTTGTTGCCTATTAACTTAGTTTTGTGAGATCTTTTTGAAGCTCTTCACAGTCTGCTTTGGTCTTCTCTATCTTGAGCAGTTTGGTATCATCTGCAAATTTTGACACCTGTTTACCGCTTTCATCAGATCATTTATAAATAGGTTGAATAGGATTGGTCCCAGGACAGACTCTTGAGGAACCCCACTAGTTACATCTCTCCACTGTAAAAACTTACCATTTATTCTTACCCTTTGTTTCCTGTTTTTTAACAAGTTATTGATCCATGAGAGGCCCTTTCCTCTTATCCCACGACAACTTACTTTACTTAAGAGCCTTTGGAGGCTTCTCAAAAGCTTTCTGGAAATCTAAGTGTATTATATCCACTGGATTCCCCTTGTCCACATTTTCGTTGACCCCATCAAAGAACTCTAGTAGATTAGTAAGGCATGATTTCCCTTTACAGAAACCATGTTGATTTTCCCCCGGCAAGTTATGTTCATCTATGTGTCTGACAATTTTTTTCTTTACAAACTAAAGTGTTTCACCTAATTTGCCTGGTACTGATGTTAGACTTTCCAGTCTGTAATTGCTGGGATCACCTCTAAAGTTCCCTTTAAATATTGGTGCCACATTAGCTATCTTCCAGTCATTAGGTACAGAAGTTGATTTAAAAGATAGGTTACAAACCACAGCTAATAGTTCCGCAATTTCACATTTGAGATTTCTCAGAACTCTTGGGTGAATGCTATATGGTCCCATTGATTTGTTACTGTTAAGTTTATCAATTAGTTCCAAAACCTCTTCTAATGACATCTGTCTGGGACAATTCCTCAGATTCATATTTAAAAACCTATTTCCATAAAAAGATGGGGATGAAGCATCACAGAATATTTTTTTTTTAGCTTTTGAAACATTTTTTAGAGGTATCTGTATTGATAAGGCTTTTCATGAGTCCCTCTATAAAACTCATCTCCCTGATCCAATAAAACATGTTTTAAAATAGCAGGGCACAGTAGAGCTCAAACTGAGATGATAATGAAAATTTTAAAACCTGTAGAAAAATTGTTTGGTACCTGTATTATTGATTGTAATTGCTAACTATTCAGTGTTAAATACTAAGTGACTAATTCAGACACTGTCAGGAATGTGCAAGTGCACGGTAAGTGTAGATTTAATAATAAATTTGCTTCGCTTAACTGCATGATAGTAGCTACTTGCAGTGTGATCTTGGGCAAATCAGCTCTCCTGTCTGCTTCCCCTCCCACCTTTTGCTTCTCCATGTAGACAAGTGTGTTTACTGCAATCAGAGGTGTGATTGCAGCTCCAATAGGTGTTCCTGAGCTCTCTTTTTATCTAGCTAGAATGAGTAAAGGTAGCAGAGAAGATGCAGCAGCACAGGCTGTACAAACCAGTCTAGAGGCTTGCGTTGCCTGACAACCCTCGGGGTTCGTGCCACCACCTCTTTGCTGCTATTTTTAGCTGCGTGATCTAGACTAAAGCTAGTGGAAATGTGCCTACCCGAGCTGCAGTGAAACCTTCAGCTGCAGCGTAGACATTAGCTTCTATTGTAAGAAATTCAGGACAGGGACTCTGTCTCATGTACAGTGCACAAGAAGGTCCCCATTTCAGTTATGAGCTACTGTACTACAAATAATAGGTGCCTTGTTATTGGTCTCAAGTAGACCTATTTTCAGTTACATTTTTTTAATTACCAAAAAGCCTTGTTTGAAATTAGCTCAGTTCTTTGAGTGGAATTCTTACTAAGTGCTGCTTATCAATGTGCATTTGACTCCAGGATGACCAGTACATTTTGTCCAGTCGAAAGTCAGTGTGCAGTACAGTGGGAATGTTGGTTAAAAACCCAACAGCATCCCCACATAGTCATACATTCTCCTGTTGTGATTAAGGAACGACATGAAGCTGTTGTACGCCGTACAATCGAAAGGAGCCAGAAGCCCAAACAAAAGCAAAACAGGTGGTCCTGGGGAGGAGTACTTCATAGCAGCAGCAGCATTAATAATACAGGTAAAGGGGGAAGCCCCATTTTTCATGCAAGTTCCCTGTCTGTATCGTGTACTTTGTGCCCACAAAAAGAAGGGTGATGCAGTGTTCATTAGTCTAAGTTCTTTATTCCTGGATTCTGTTCGTTTGTTTGTTTGAAGATGGGCATGTTTATTAAGTTTCTGCTTGACTAAGAAGGAGCAAGGGGAAATTCAACTAAAGCTTAAACATAATTAAGTAATTGACTAATCCTGTAACTCCATCTATATTTACAAGTGCTCACTTCTGCTTCGCTAGTGTTTGTGTGCATTTATGTGTGTGTGTGTATGCATGTGCTGTGACACTAATCCAGTGTAAATTGCTCTATGGACATGTTAGGTATCAGGACAGCAACAAAAATTATTTTAAGAATTTCTGGTGGACATAATAAAAAACAAATTTTAAGCTAAAAATACAAATAGGAAGGGAAACAGCTCTTTGAAACCTGCTTTATTATTTTTATTATTCTAGTTGGCAAAACATGTACAGTAAACTTCCGATAATCTGGCACCTTTAGGACCCAGGGGGTACCGGATTATCAAATATGCCGGACTATCAGAAGAGGGGGCTATGAGGGGTCTGGAGTGGAGTGGGGGGATTTTTAAGCTAAAAATACAAATAGGAAGGGAAACAGCTCTTTGAAACCTGCTTTATTATTTTTATTATTCTAGTTGGCAAAACATGTACAGTAAACTTCCGATAATCTGGCACCTTTAGGACCCAGGGGGTACCGGATTATCAAATATGCCGGACTATCAGAAGAGGGGGCTATGAGGGGTCTGGAGTGGAGTGGGGGGATACGCCCTTCGGCTCTGCAGCCACTGGTCAGTTTCAGCAGTGGCTGAATCGGGGAAGCTGGGGGCAGAGCAGCTCCAATTGTCCGGCTGCCCAAAGCACTTCTGGGTTCCAGATAGTGCCGGACCATTGGATGCCGGACCACTGGAGTTTTACTGTACATAGGAATAAACAGAAATTCTGTGCTTTGTGTTAACCAACATTCTCGAACAAATTAATATGGGTTTATTGGTTTGAGTGGATATTTTCTCCACTTCCTTCAGGAGAAATTGGAAGCAGGCAAATGTAAAGTGTAACAAGATATAGGTTGAAGATCTAGCCCATAATTATCACTCTAACAGAAATTGCATTATTGATTAATAACATATATGTGGCCTGTTAAGGTACACCTCAGACTGAAGAAGAGAATTCAGATGTGTCCTTGATAAATTCTTAACCAGAAATAGACCAGAAATCAGTGTCTATATATTAGAAATCTATGTTCCCTTAATACATACATTTCAATAAGTATTACAATCTTTTATCAAGAAGAAAATAATGTGTTTACCATGCTGATCACTGAATAAGGGCAAGAAACATTTGTAATACATGTATTTTATTGTACTGTAAAATTCAGTAAACTGTTATTTTTCCATAAAATGTTCCACTTCTTGCTTTGCTTATCTTTGTGTGACTCATTTGCTTTTTATTTTTCTTTATTTTGAAAAATCATTTGTCTTGCATTCTGTCTCTAGGTTATTTTGTTGAATCATCATTCACCTTTCTCGATTTAGCATGCCTGGAGCACCACTTCAGATCTCTGGGTGGTGCTAGAAAACGTGGTACATAAATCACTGTGGTTTGTTGATTCCTTCATGTGTAGCTAGCTTTTCAAGAAATAGGACTAGTAACTACTTGATGACCTTTAAACCAACATCACTTAGACACAGTGCATGCTTAATAGAATACAACATAGATTAGAACAGTTGTTAGCCCCTAGTGTTTTTTTTAAGTACAGAGAAGTATTACTGGCTGACTTAAAGGATTTGGCACAGTTCACTAAACTACTGTATGCAGAATACTGTATACAGTATATTGCATTGTGTTGTTTTGGATTACATTTAATAAAGAATATTAACCAATTAAAAACTGTCTTCTCGAATTCAATGGAGAACATATTTTGAGCTTTGTTTTACTTTTGCATAGGGTATGTGACACACAATTATTTGTCTGTTTTGGTCAAATAATGTTTTAAAATGTATTAACACAGACATAGCCAACATATGGTGCTTGGCCTATTCTGTGTTGGCAAGTTTTGTATGCAACTGACATTCACACAAAATTCTTCCGAGGCAATGGCATCCATTGAAAAATAATCTTCATGGACTGCACGGTTGAATGAGGCTGGATGGCAGGACTGATTTAAGAGAGACTTTCTCGAGAAGATGCTCTTTTTGCTGCTGTTTCTCATCTCCACAATGCTGCTCACACTTCCTTTACCCATTCTGTGACAACTGCATGTGTACCCGGTTGGTGCAATGGCATACACATGTGTTCTCACATGACCAGAACAAGCTCTGATGCTTAGTTCTCCACGCGCTTACTCACACAGATCGCTGCTGGAGAGCAGCTAAGGAACATAAGGATTGCCTTACCGGATCAGACCCAGCTCCCATTAAATCCAGTACCCGCTGTCTCCAACATTGACTAGTAACAATTGTTTTGGAGGAAAGTGCAAGAAATGTGAGATAATCTACCCCGCCCTTCCCCCCCCATGAAGTTTTCATCCTATTCCTAATGGTTAGAGAGTGTCTTAAACTCTGAACAGTAAAGTTTTTATCATTTCCAGCACCCTGTTGGTTAGCTTTAACCATTCCAATTCTGGATGTTCTTGTTATCCATGTGAACATCTAGTCCCTCTTTGAAGCCTGCTGAGATTAGGCGAAGCAAAAGATAAAACCAATTGCTCTGTGGCAGTGGATGAAAAATCAAATAAAAACCACCAACCTTTTTTCTTTCATTCCTATCCTGTATACTCTACCACTGGAATGAGAAACTCTTCTATTCTATTAATGATCAGAAGAGTTTTTAACCCAAAGCCAATTTGTATATGTGGGTGGTAACATGCGTAACAAATGTTGATGTGCTCAGTATAATGAAAGCCTTAAGCAATCATTGTCTGAGAGAATGTCCTCTTTAATATTTTCAAGGTTATTTAGACATATAGATTGTGATTCAACAGAGCAATTAAGAACATGTCAAACACTCCTGGACTTCAACTGGAAATCATTATGTGCTAAGGCCTATATTTTTAAAGGTACTTAGGCATTATCACACTCAGCATTGTAACGCCTAACTGATTTTGGAGGCTGTCTCATTTTCAGAAGGGGTTTAGGAACTTAAGAGCCTAAATTCCATTCTCTGTCAATAGAGAGACAAGGTCAGTGAAGTAACATATTTTATTGGAGAAATTTCTGTTGGTGTGAGAAACAAACTGTTGAGCTATAAGGAGCTCTTTCTCAGGTTAGTGTAGTTGAAAAGCTTCTCTCACACCAACAGAAGTTAGTCCAATAAATGTCAGTTTCCCAAACAAAAATCTAAAGAGATTTAGTTTATGCACTCATTTCCCAAAAAAATATTTTGGAGGAGAGAATATTTTTACATTGCTTTTTTCCCCCCCTCGTAGTTCCTCATTTTCTTCTGCTGTTGCCAGCCTCTTCAGACTGTGCACAATCTCTTTTTCAGTGCTCTTGAAATATCTATCATATTCTTAGTTGGATGGAAATGCTGATTTTGTATCATTTGAACAGGAAAGTGATGAAGTATGATACTACAGTTTGAAAACCACAACTCATAGAAAGGCAAAATAAAGCCCTTTGGAGTCACATACAAAGTATATGCATCGCAATTATTTTTTAGTCTTCTACACATTTATTTTCTTTGTCTGTTAAATCTCATGCGGTTTTGGACTGACAAGCTTTGTCGTCTTATAGTGCAGACAGAAAAATCACTCTCTGATATGGAGTATACTACCTATTCAGAATCCTTTGCCTTTTAGCCTTATCTTTGAATTGCTCTTCTGCCCACCCTCATTTGTCTTCTGTGCCTTGCTTTCTTTCTCCTCTACTTGATCTTCCATTGTTATGATTCCAATATTGATCTCCTGGTTCACAAACAGTATCCTTCTAAATATCATGTGTAATTCAAGTGATGCTAAGGACTTCTTTCTTCATAACATGCTCTTGAAAAGAGGGACTAGAGCGTTAACCATGATACTGATGCTATGTAATTTTCCATTTCATCTGAGCCTACAGCAAAACCTATTCACAAGCGCAGTGAAGTGAACATTAAAATTTCATCTTATTAGCTGTCCGTTCAGCTCTTCCATTTGAAACCTTGGAGCACAGCTTAATTGAATGAAAAACGTCCAGGGTATCAGTTTATTTACCTGCAATTTAAATTAAATAGTAATGTGCCAAATCTTTAAGTCACCTATAAAATGTCCACTAAGAAGTCCTTTCTGTTTTTAAAGTTCTAGTGATAGAGCAGAAATTATTAGTCCCCTTTTTCTCCTTCTGTTGGTGTTCTAGGAAGTTGCATTATTGCATGCGGGCTGTCAAATAGCATTATCTCCATTTGTTTTAGATCCAGACAGGCGGTCTGTTTCAACAATGAACCTTTCGAAACATGTTGATCCAGTCATTAACAAGCGGCTCTCCTCCTCATCTGCAACATTACTAAATTCTTCAGACAGAGGTACAGTTTAAAGAAAGAGAGAGAAGTGTTCTTTATTGAGTCATTGTTTTTAACAATCCTCTGCAGATACAGTAAGCATTTTTAGTCGTTTTCTGCACATTATTTAAATAGGAATGAAAAGACTTCAAATGATTGAAAGAAGTTAAATGATTGAACATTCTCTTTTCAAGTAGAGCTCTATTTTTCAAAGATCAGAACTTGCCTGAATTATTTCATTTAACAAGTGATAAAAGCAGTGCTTCTGTCAGGTTTTTAGTAAATGATTGACAACTACAGAAACAACACATCTCTTCAAAGCGCATGTAACCATTTTATTTTTATACATTTATTTACATTGAGTCATGCTGCCTTTTTGCTTTTCATTTTTAATTTGGTTCCAATTCTCGAACTTCTGGAAACATGTTTCACAAAGCTTTTAAGTAGTTAATAAGCTCATATTGTGGATTTATTTAAAATTTAACTACGCAGTTAGATATTGCTCATACAGTGCCTGTTTGTTGATTTTCTATGTGCCTTTAGATTTAGAAGTTTGCTCTAGTGGAAGAAATGCTTTTTTCTGATATTTTCAGATCTGCACATCAGATTGACAGTCAGGCTTTTAATCAACAGCATAATCTGCAGTACTAAACTGTCAGACTTTGTAAAGCAAACTTCGTCTTAAATTAGTTTTACAAAGTAAGTTATTTTGATAACCTCGTGTGATAAGAAATGGATCGAGATTTTTGACAAGATGGACTATTAGGGACCATTTCCCCTTTCTCAGCAAAAGACAAAAGGGCTGTTCAGCGTTTCATCCCAAATCTGAATGTCCATATGTAAATGCAGAATATATATATAATGTTATATATATTTTTGCATATATAACCTGTTATCGCCTCAAACTGTTTGGAAAACTTCACTATCTGTATCTCTCTAACAAAATGTCCTGCACTAAGTGCATGCTTGTATGCATGTTTCCGTATATAATGTCTATTTATTTCTATATATATAATATTATACAGCATAGTGACAAGATTTGAGGGCAGTGGCAGCACACTCTTGCCTATGGGATAAAATACTGAGGTTGCTGATTTTGGAGGAGTGGGTGGGGGAGAATACAACATAGTTTTCAGAAATTATGTAACTCCTGAACAGTTGTTTCTTCTGACAGCTATTGAAACCCAGTCAATATTAATTGTGTTGCCTTTTCAGATTTTTAGGATTTGCTGTTGCCATTCTTTATGAGTGATGGCTCCGTAATGAAGGGTGGTGTCAGGGACAAAAAAGCATGATAATGATGTGGAATATTGCCCACTGCGCCTGGGCTCACCCACTGGTTATATCAGTTTGTGGCTAATAGAGCATGTTAGTTTCAGTTTATCTACTTTTCAAGTCAGTCGTGCTAATATAGTCTTTTTAGTGGTGATTTTATAGTTAGTGCCACTAGTAGCCTGGGTAACAAGTCATCTGAAGAAGTGGGTTGTGCCTATGAAAGCTAATCATACCATCTACATGCTTTGTTAGTCTTTAAGGTGCTACTAGACCAGTGGTCACCAACCAGTAGATCTTGGGGCCTCTGACAGGGGATCCTGACTGGTCTGGCCAGGAATCTATCAAGTGCTGGCTCTTCAGTTGCCCCTCCACCCGCTGTCATGCTGCTCCTGCCCTCTGCCTTGGAGCTGCCCCCTGGGAGCCTCCTGCTTGCTCTGCAAAGTGTGGGAGGAAGAAGAGGGGAGGATGCTAATGTCAGGGTATCCCTCCTCCCCCACTTCTGTACCCTATCTCCACACAGAGAAGGGGATGGATGAAGCTTGGCAATGCAAATCTCACTCACACACTGTATATGTGTCTGTCATTCTCACAAACACACACTGCCCTTCCCTCTCATCTCCCGACCCAACATACACATACATGGGGGGTTGTTACTACTTTTACTGCTTGCAAAGTGTGTTGTTTTTGGTTTTTGACTGTCACCACCCTAACCTCCTCCTACACCCAACCCGCTGCCCCTGACATGAGCCCCCTTGCACCCAAACTCCGTCCCAGAGCTTGCCCCTTGAAACCCCTCCTGGACCCCAATCCCCCCCCCTGGGCTAAGCCTGGAGCCTCCCCCCCCCCCCCGCTCAAGACCAGAGCCTATACCCCAACCCCTACCCCAGCTTGGTGAAAGTGAGTGAGAATGGGGAAGGAAGGGGTATGGAGTGAGCAGGGTGAGGCCTTGGAGAAGGGGTGGAGTAGGGGCAGGGCCTCAAAGAAGGGGCCAGGAAGGAAGCGGGGCAAGGGTATTTGGGTTTGAGGTAGGTCTTACATTGCACTTAAATCGAAAAAGTGATCTTGTGGTTAAAAAAGTTGGAGACCACTGTACTAAACTATTTGTTGTTTTTTAAGGATTTAATTGTGCATATATTTAGTACTTTTGCAAAAATTAGGACTAAGTGATGTTATCCTCATGAATAAATTATTAAAATACTAGAAGATTCATCCAGCAATGCTTGGTCCTTAACTCACATAAGTTTTGTTTTTCTCCATTTAAATCATTGCTCTGGGGTGGGGCTGGCATGAGGGGTTCAGTATGCAGGCTGCCCTGTTCTCAGCCCTCTCTCACCGCAGCAGCTTGGGGCCAGGTGAGAAGCACTTCTCCATGGCTGCTTCAGAGGACACAGCAGGGGGAAGAATGCATGTCCCCCAGCTGGGTGATAGACAGACAGACAAACTCTCTGAAATATATAGTAGATAGCTGTTCCTTTCTTCACCCTATCTTTGCTGACCCAGTGGGGTTCTAGCTGTCCCCGTCGCCATCCATGGCCTCTTGCTTGCCCCCCGTGATCATTCTGTAGTATAACATCCTCCTACCAGATCCCCTCCCTTTCCATTTTATGAGAAACAGTTAAATCCCAGGCACAGCCCATTATCCTGGCACAACCAAACCCTGACCCTGCTCTAAGTTATGATAAGAGGAAGCTGCATGCCAAATTTGTTGGTCCTAGCTTTCACCATTTAGGGAGAATTATTGAACAAACGGACTCACAGATGGACAGACAGACTGACTCACATTTCTAAAATGTATAGTAAAAAATGCAACAACAAACTGCAAAAAGTGAGTTTTCACAGGCGTTTCCAGACTTCTGACTGAGGTTTGTCAGCCCTTGAAAATACAGAGAACTGTACACAATCGTTACCATAATCCCTCACCCCCAGCTTTTAACAGCAGCTTCTGCCTAATGTAATCTTGGATAGGACTATTTCCTATGCTAAGTATAAGGTAATTCTGCAGTATCTCTGGTTCCACTGCATGTTGTTAGCAAGCTGCTGGTAAATGGTGACTTTCCATTTGGAACCAGCACAAGTACCAATTATTACTGTTTCTTCAGGATTTTCTTAAGACACCTAGGTTTTAGGCCTCTTGTCTTTTTCTCAATGAACCTGATCAACAGGTGCCTGTACATATCTGTTTGTATGCTGTTGCTTCCCTATAGGCTTAGCATACAATACACTGCCTCCAGACAAGAAAGTGCTTCAAGGCTCTTGTTTGACTACCTAGACTCCTGGGAACCACAGATTTGAAATCTCTTCAGGGTTAACAAAGCCTTTCATCCTATCAGGCTAGACTGAGTAACTTCCCATGCATGCAGTTTACTGCATAGGGTCCTCTGGATAAACCCCTAAATAGTGAGACACTGTTTGCTCTGTGTGAACACTCAACAACCATAGCCATTTTCATTCAAATAGGACTTAGCCCTTGTGTCCTTAGCCGTGAACACTTAACAACCATAGCCATTTTCATTCGAATAGGACTTAGCCCTTGTGTCCTTAGCCAATACTAATGGATGTATTCAGAGGACAAGACAACATTGGCATGCTGTGTAAGACTCTTTAAAGCCATTTTTTAAAAGAGTTAGTGAATGCTCCACTAATGCCTGCTACCCAGAACATTGGCTACACCCTCACCTAGCTAAGCTCATAACTTTAGAGCCAAGGTATCCAAGGGTATGTCTACACCACCCTCCTAATTCGAACTAGGAGGGTAATGTAGGCATACCGCACTTGCAAATGAAGCCCGGGATTTGAATTTCCCGGGCTTCATTTGCATGAAGCCGGCCGGCGCCATTTTTAAATGCCGGCAGTTCGAACCCCGTGCCGCGCGGCTA